CTCGAGACCGCTAGCAACATCAATTTTGAAGAGGCCGCTAGGAATGTCCTCAAGGTGGCGCTGGGCCACAGTCGTGGCGACGGGTTTGACGGCGAATTCGCAGCTCGCGGTAGCACCATCTACATCCCGAGAGTAGAGAGAACTCTCAGCGTCGACGGCTCCCTTCGTAAGTACGAAGCCAAGGGACAACCGGAGCTTGTCTCGTTCAAAGGATGCGGACGACCGCTCAAGCTCACCATCAAGACACCTGGTCTTCTCGACACCTTCAGATGGGAAGAGGACGAGACGTACTACCAGCCCTTGCCTGAAGACTGGATTGAAGTCGAGGTCAAGGCAGTGGGTCTCAACTTCAAGGATGTCCTCGTCGCTTTGGGCAACCTCGCCGAGAACAAGCTCGGTGTCGATGCATCTGGAGTTGTCACTCGCGTCGGCTCAGCGGTCTCGGATTTCAAGCCCGGTGATCGTGTCATGACTGCCTCTTGCGACACTTTTGCGACCCACGTCCGCTTCCCGGCCAAGGGTGCCATTGCTGTCCCTGAAAAGATGACTTTTGAGGAGGCAGCGTCGATGCCCCTGATCTTCCTCACGGCTCATTACTCCCTTGTAACCGCCGGAAGCCTGGTCAAGGATGAGAAGATTCTGATCCATGCCGCTGCCGGAGGTGTCGGTCAAGCTGCAATCATGATCGCGCAGCGCAAGGGCGCTGAGATCTTTGCAACTGTCGGCTCGGACGAGAAGAAGCAGCTCATCATGGAGCAGTATGGAATCCCTGAAGATCACATCTTCAGCAGCCGTGATACCAGCTTTGCCAAAGCTATCATGCGGGCCACCAATGGCCAGGGCGTGGACGTTGTTCTCAACTCCCTGGCTGGTGAAGCCCTTCGTCTGTCGTGGCACTGCCTCGCCAAATTCGGTCGCTTCTTGGAAATTGGAAAGGCCGACCTATTCGCCAACACGGGCCTCGACATGAAGCCCTTCCTCGACAACAAGCGCTACATCGGCGTCAATCTTCTCGATTTCGAGAATAACCCCACTCCCCGCGCAGTAGCTCTCTGGGAAGATACAGCAAAGCTCATCCATGATGGCTCCGTCAAGCCCATCGCGCCGATCCAGCTCTTCTCCATGGCCGAGGTCGAGAAGGCCTTCCGTCATATGCAGGCTGGCAAGCACATGGGTAAGGTAGTCGTTCGGGTCGACGATTCGGACATGGTCCCCGCCATCCCCCGCATGCCGAGTGTGGACATTCAAGCAAACGCAACCTACGTCGTCGCCGGTATTGGTGGTATCTGTAAGGATATTGGACGCTGGCTTGCAGAGAAGGGTGCTAAGCATCTCGTCTTGCTCTCTCGCTCGGCCGCCAGCAGCGAGGAGAACAACGCTTTCGCCTCTGAGCTTCAGAAGACTTATGAGGCCAACACCTATGCATATGATTGCGATGTTGGCAACAAGGCTGCCCTTCAAGAGGTATTGGAGGACTTGAAGGCAAAGGGCGTCCCTGCTGTGAAGGGATGTGTGACCGGTGCCATGGTTCTCAGAGTAAGTCAAAGCTCCCAACCCCAGCAGGATAATTTCATTGCTGACAACTCACAACAGGATACCCTCTTTGACAAGATGACTGCGGACCACGTCCGTACAACTGTCGGGCCCAAGGTCCACGGAACCTGGAACCTGCACGAGCTCCTCCCGCGAGACCTCGACTTCTTCGTCATGCTCAGCTCCCTCGCTGGAGTCATGGGCCACCGCGGACAGGGCAACTACGGATGCGGCAATATCTTCCAGGACTACTTCGCGGCGTACCGCCGCAGCCAGGGCCTGCGCGCCATGACAATTGACATTGGCTATCTCCTCAGCGTCGGCTTCGTGGCAGAGCATGATGAGTACGTAGACCACGTCAAGGCCATGGGCCTCAAGGTGATGCACAAGAGCGATCTCCACGGCCTCATGGCCACGGCGCTCGAGGGCTCCGAAGCGCATCCTCCGCAGGTTATGTGTGGACTCCCTTATAACGAGCACGACGACGCGTGGTACTGGATCCAGGACCAGCGGTTCGCTGGCCTCAGGAAGACTGCCGCGGGCTCCGGAGCGGGCGGGTCTGCCACTGTTTCTCTTCGCGAAGAGCTGGCTCGCTGTGGCAAGGCGGACGACGAGGCTGTGCATCTGATTACCTCTGCTCTGGTGCAGCGCCTGGCCAAGTTGATGATGATGCCCGAGGACGATGTAGACGCGGGCAAGCCACTGAGTGCTTATGGCGTCGACAGCTTGGTTGCTGTTGAGGTCAGGAATTGGATTGCAAAGGAGGTTGCGGTTGAGGTTAGTGTATTCGACATCATGGCCAATATTCCCATGAGGCAACTGGCTGCGGATTTGGCTGGGAAGAGCAAGATTTTGGTTCAAGAAGCTTCATAAAGTGCTTGATGAACGGTTTAGGTCGTAGGAGATGGGAGTTTGGAAGGGATTTGATTTAGCTTTCTTTGACTAAAGACACTGTAGGTAGTTATGGTTCAGCGTGTGCATGCCCTATGATCGGCTCTAAAAGATGTTCAGAGACAAGCCAAGCATAAATAGTCTGTTGTACGAAGAGAAATGTCAACGTACAAGTTCTTGACTGCTTCTGAATACTGCTTCCAAGGCCTAGCGTTCTCGTTCCTCAAACATAGTTCTTGAGAGACCGACAGATGAAGCATGACCTACTGCTGACACTATTGAAGATACATACTTTGTTGAGCAGGGTAACTCACCGGCGTATTTCAGTGGTACTGATAGCATAACCCCATTGTGGTGATGCCCACTAGCTCCCATGAACTACTCGACACCCGAAAGATTGAGGGGAATACAGTGCTGAATGTGTCTATGAAGTAGAGTAACCTGGAAAGACAGGGTCCACTGGTAACAGGGGCTTATACTGACAAGCTTCGGCGAAATGCATGACTCGCCCCCTGAAGACCGGGGGTCCCTCGGCGGAAACACTCTCGACAGCAGGACCTCAGCGCCTGTCACTTGTCCACGTGCTGGAAGCTGTCTATTGATATCAATGATCGTCTTTGCTTCTTATCTCAATATTTTTTCAGAGGAAAGGACATTGATTCGATTGAGATCGAGTTTTAATTGCCTCTTAGTTCAATTATCAACTTCACACCGTAAGCAATTCTTCTCGCTCTTAGTCTATCATTGCTCACAACAGAAGCTTCAAACGCTCGCCTTAGCGGTAAAGCACTCCCGCAACAATGGCGGCCCAGACCCAGACTCCTGTACCAGCGGCTCCAGCGCCTCTGCCCGCTAAAGAGATGAAGGTCCTTTCGTTGGGAATGACACGAACCGGTTCGTCCCCAGAGCGCTGTAACTCACACACGTCTCCAGTGTGCTAAACAACGTCACAGGCTCTGCTTCCATCACTAAAGCTCTTACAATCCTGGGCTTTCAGGGAGTCCACCACGGTATCCAGGCCATCTCTTCGCCCCGCGAATGGGCGCTATTTTCTCGCGCTGCGGACTCCGTGTTTCCCACACTTCCAACTCATAACGGCGCGCCCTTTACACGCAAAGACTGGGAAGCTCTATTCGGCTCCTACGAAGCAGTCACTGACATGGGCTCGTTTTTCGCCCTACAACTCATTGAGGCGTATCCAGAGGCCAAGGTCATCCTCGTTGAGCGCGATGTCGACAGCTGGTTCCACAGTATGGACGAAGCCATCTTCAAGACTACCTGGGGCTTGCGCGCGAACCTGATCATTGATTTTCTGGGGCCCGCATGGGGCTTGAACGGCGGCAGGACTCTTAGGAAGATCCTGCTGGGATTCTACGGCGTCCGAAACGTGAAGGAGATGAGAGAAGTCGCCAAAGACTGCTACAGGCAGCACTATGCAGAGGTCCGGGCTGCGGTGCCCATGGGCCGGCTTCTGGAGTTCAAGCTCGAGGATGGTTGGGCGCCGTTGTGCGAGTTTTTGGGTAAGGACGTCCCGAGCGGCGTCGATTTTCCCGTGGCGAACCAGAGAAAAGAGCACCTTGCGCGCGTGCGAACGAGACAGAATCGATTCTTCAAGCTCGCTTTCTTCACCGGCTTGCGGAAGGCTATGCCCTGGGTATTTGGTCTTGGGGTCGTTGCAGCAGGTGTGTACTTAGCCAAGCCGACTTGGAAGCCAACCCCGTTGGGATGGGATGAACTGAATCGGGTCTTCCAGACAATTCTGAAAGACCTTCAGCTTCGGCTGAAGTAAGACAGCGTCCCCTTTTCACTGTTTTTCTTTGTTTGGTATATATCCTGAGATATATCAAAGATATTGTTCGCAATTCGTCTATCCATTGAAGCTCTTTAGGAAGTAGATATCGCAGGAATAATGCACTTCGACTTCTTACAAGCGTGGTGATGTCAGCTTATGTACACTGTTCACGCGGCAACAAATTGGATGCAGGTTCATACCAGATTCACGATTGGCTCTAATTAGGCATGTATCTAAGCCAAAGGCCATTCGGCTATCCTCCCGGTGACCGCTCCGGCGACTCCTCCGGCGTCCAGAGCCGACATCAATCCCAAATGGAGCACGATCATCGGCAAGACTCATCCAGTCCGGCCCCATTACTTTCTCCGCCCGGGTCCGGCGTTGGTCGGTGCCTCCGCAACACGTCAGAATCCTCCGAATGACAACATCAACTCTAATCCGCTTCAATGCATGAGACCCCTGATCGCCACACCTTGGAGGGTTCCTTTAGGGCTTGGCAAGCCCGACAGAACGGTCATATCGCGGCACCGTTCCTCAGCCCTCGTTTCTTCTTCGGTCCCGATTCTGTGCCAGCTCTCTGCGGTCAGGACTTTTGCGCAAATCAAATCACTGAAGGGCTCTACTCCCACCAATGGAGTCTCATCGGGAAACAGTTGTTCACTGGCTCGGGAAACTACCATCCTCAAACCCAGGGGTTACATTTGGGTTGCCTTGGCGGCATGGACTCTGCCATCCCTCGAATACCGCATTCATTTGCAAAACAGAAAGTGGGAGCGAGATTCCAATGCAGACCTGGCCAATAGCATTCTGGCCCGATGGATCTGTGAAATGGACAAGCCATGCGATTGCCTCATCAGCGACAGCAGAAGAGAGCTACCGCATTATTGCAACCGCCTCGTCGGACGCCAAGCTACCATTTCCAGATGAGCTCATAGCCGAGGAAGACTCCAGCTTCATCTCAGTTAGCACTGGGAGCTTGAAGATAACATTTGCAAAAACCGGGAACGATATCATCAAGGAAGTTGTCAATGCTAAGGGCATCACGGTTGGTGTACAAGGCAGATTGGTTCTCCTTTCCCAGGATCGTGTATATGATCCCGATAAACCAGACTCACTTGTAAAGCACCATAGTTTCCAGGGGAGCATAAGCTCGGTGGTAATTGAGCAAGTCGGTTCCATCCGCGCTGTCATCACCGTTCACGGAGTCCATGTCGAGGTTCCCCAAGAATTCGAGCCGACTATCAAGACCCATAAACCATGGATACCTTTCACACTTAGGTTCTATCTATATGCCGGATCTAGTCACATTCGAATACTTCATACCATAAAATACGACGGCGGGACAAATGACTTTATTCGAGGGATTGGGATCCGCCTCAAGGTGCCTCTCCAGGAAGAAGCGGCCTTCGATCGCCATGTACGATTTTCTGGAGCATCAGGGGGTGTTCTTGCCGAGGCTTCTCAAGGGCTGACTGGACTTTGGAAGGATCCTGGGCAAGAAGTCAGGTCCGCTCAGGTACAGGGCAAGCCCTTACCGTCTTCTGAGAATTGGGATCCGGAGCTACCCCAAGCTTCTCTGCGCTGGGTGCCCATCTGGAATGACTTCAGTTTGCATCAACTCTCGCCAGATGGGTTTACGCTCGAGAAGCGACTGAGGGAAGGTCATCCGTGGATTAAGACCGCCAGTGGTACCAAGGCGGGAGGAGTTGTTTATGTCGGTGGTGCTAATCGCGGAGGATTGGCCATCGCGTCGAGACATTTCTGGGAACGATACCCGACCGGAATCGACGTTCGAGGCCTTGGCGCCTCTCAAAAAGACACCGAGGTAACACTTTGGCTATACGACCCCAAAGCCGGGCCCATGGACCTTCGGCCTTATCATGACGGCTTAGGTCAACAAGGTTTTGACGATCAGCTAGACGCCCTGAAGATCACTTACGAGGATTGGGAGCCGGAACTCGGGTCGCCTTACGGGATAGCGCGCACAAATGAGCTGATGATATCGGTGACGGACTCAACGCCAGATAGCAATGAGTTCTCATCACTCATAGACCTCATCCGAGATCCTCCAAAGTTATTGCCTAGCCCAGAAGCCATTCACTTTAGTCAAGCTCTCGGTACATACTGGTCTTCATTGTCGAATACGTCTGCCAATGGCCTTTCAGCCACCGACGAACGCCTCGAGTTCCTGTTTCAATTCTATGAGAAGCAAGTACAACAACGGCGTTGGTACGGATTCTGGGACCATGGCGATATCATGCACACGTATGATGAAGACCGACACACCTGGCGATACGATGTTGGCGGATACGCCTGGGACAATTCTGAGCTATCACCAGATCTATGGCTCTGGCTGTACTTTCTGCGGACCGGTCGAGCTGATGTGTTCCACATGGCGGAAGCATTGACTCGTCATACTGGAGAGGTGGATGTTTACCATCTTGGGCGTTATAAGGGTCTCGGTACACGACATGGCGTGCAGCACTGGAGCGATAGCTGCAAACAAGCCCGTATATCGAACGCCTTGTATCGCCGCTTCTTCTACTACCTGTCTGGCGGTGACGAACGTGTTGGAGAACTTCTCGAAGAGACCCTTGATACGGATCAAAAGTTTCTGGTCCTCGATCCGTACCGAAAGGTCCGAAAGGACAGAGAAACCTACAGCCCAGATGCGCATGCTGTCGAGATCAGCCTGGGAACTGACTGGGCATCGCTAGCAGCCTCCTGGCTTGTCGAGGTTGAGCGACGAGGGCCACGATGGACTGAGGCCAAGAGTAAGTTATTCCGGTCAATTGAAGGGATTGGCGCCCTTGCCAACGGCTTTGTTACCGGGAATGCGACTTATAATCCGTCAACCGGAGCCATCTCACCACCCACCGCAGATCCTGACAATCAAGGGGTAGTGAAGGTTTCCCACCTATCAGCAATGTTCGGGTTGTTTGAGGTGGCGGTCGATATCCTGCAGCAGTTTCCAGAGAAAGCAGACGCAACTGGGTTCAGGCATGCATGGCTAGAGTATTGCATCTTCTTCAACGCTAGTCTAGAGGACCAGGAGAATCGATACAGCCAATCTGGCTGGGGCAGACTGCAGCTAAGACAAGGACACTCTCGATTGACTGCCTATGCGGCGAAGGAGCTCAATAGACCTGATCTGGCTAAACGCGCGTTGGAAGAATTTGAGAATGGGGATGGCTTTCGGGACTATGGTCCGAACGCTGTCTGGAAAAGCACCCCGGTGAACAAGAACCACGTTCTAGAGCCCGCAGATGAGGCTCTTGGGGTTTCTACCAATGTCACCGCGCTGTATGGTCTGGCAGCTATTCAGAACCTGGCATTATTGTTAGATGAGGCAAAAACAAGAATTTAGAATGATGTTCAAGTTAGCGTAACTGTGCCAAAATGCACGTCCAAGTTTCTCATACGTTGTCGACTCCGCAGTTGTCCAGGAACCTGGCATCTCTAGACGCGACGCGCATCGCCTGTAGCAGAGTGCGGCGAGCCTTTCTTGTTGATCCCGACAAGCGATACCGACTGTTCTACCGCAATAGAAAGCTTGTTGTGGTTGTGTGGAACAAATAAGGTTTTCCATGACAACTCAAGTTGAGTGGGATCAGAAACTCAGTCAAGGAGGGTCTTGGAATTCCCGGGTTCGTCCGGCCTAGAACACGGATGATCAGCTCATTGAAAAGCCTGAAATGGTGACAAATTAACAAATGGACAGAGAAATTTGCTGGAACATCCCAACTTTCAGCCAAACGCGAGTGCTCGCCTCGTCGGTTTCGGCTCCGTCCCGTGCGTTGGTAACCAGTAGGAGAGACGTCGATGGTTGCAAGGAGATGGCATTGAATTTGAGTTTGTCCCGCAACTTGATCGAAACTGTTTCGTCTAACAAAACTTGTCGATCAGTGCACTCTAAATTGCTAGTCGTCTTGTTCCCGCCGGCAGACTTCCCTGCAACATGGTAATGCTACCTTCCTGCAACAAACGCTATCCGGCATGAAGCTCCCACGGTCCAATCTCTGAGTGTCCACAACAACGATCCGCGTAACCCTCCACTACGAATAGCCTTTGAAACTGACCGAAATTACCGAGCTATATGAAGCTCATGTCTGCCCAGGCCTCTTGCAATGAGGCCAGTTTGTTCGTCTCAACGGTAGATTGGCTGCTTTATTCAGCCATACTGCGCTCGTCTGGTCACAACTTTCGACACCCGGAAGATCGCACGATGCGCGTCTGGTGTTGATACCGTTGAGATGCGTATGCGCTCGAAGAGTCTACTTGCGCCACGGCGCCCCGTTCGCTTGGCTGTCTTTCTCGCCGCAGTTTTCGTCACAGTCTTCTTACTGTTTCCTCCATTCGAGTCTAGACCGATCCTGTTATTCCCCAGCACCAGCAGCCAGCCTGAGGAGATCACATTCCGCAAGAGTTCTTTCGACTGGGCGACTGTAGAGCAACACCACCCCGTCATTTCCTTCAAGCCTCTACCAACAGGCAAACCACTAAGCCTTCCTTCAATCCAACACGAATTCGGCGTAGGCAATCCGCATCCAGAGGCCCCGAAACGACAGAAAGCTGTCCGTGATGTATTCATCCGGAGTTGGAGCAGCTACAAGAAGTTTGCTTGGGGTCGGGACGAGTTAGCGCCCGTAAGTGCTGGGGCCAAGGACACATTTGGAGGATGGGCTGCGACACTGGTGGATTCTCTCGACACGCTCTGGATCATGGAGCTCAAGGACGAGTTTCGCGCCGCGGCCAACGTAGCCGTGAAGTTGGATTGGGCCAACACATCAGCCACCAGCGTGAACATGTTCGAAACCACGATAAGACATCTGGGCGGCCTACTTAGTGCGTACGATCTCAGTGGCGAGCCTGCCCTCCTCGATAAAGCGAAAGAACTGGGGGACATGCTTTACATGGGATTCGATACGCCAAACCGCCTGCCAGGCTTTTGGGTCAACTTTGAAGACGCTAGGAATGGAACTCAGCTAGCTGGCACGCACGATCCGTCAGCTTCCCCGGGCTCGTTAGCCATGGAGTTTACCCGTTTATCCCAGCTGACGGGTAATCCGAAATACTTCGACGCCGTGGATCGCATTACGAGGTTTCTGGAAGGAACGCAGTTCAAGTCTAAGCTTCCCGGGATGTGGCCGAAGATGATTAATTTCAGAGAGGAACGAGTCGATACGGACAACAGTTTCACGCTGGGAGCCTTGGCGGATTCACTCTACGAATACCTACCCAAAATGTTTGCGCTACTCGGCGGCCGAGATCCATCCTACGAAAAGATGTACATTGGAGCCATGGCAATAGTAGAGCAACACATACTTTTCCGGCCTATGGTACCAGATCGGGACGACATCCTATTCGCTGGCGATGCCTTCATCTATGCTGACCGAATCGAGCACGTATCCGATGGCCAACACCTCGCATGCTTTGCGGGCGGTATGCTTGGTCTTGGGGGCAGACTCTTCTCCGTCGACAATCACGTTGCTCTCGGTGAGAAGGTCGCACGAGGGTGTGCATGGGCATACGACGCGTTTCCTTCCGGCGTGATGCCGGAAAACTTCAATCTCATCCCTTGCGAGGCCCGGAAGACCGGGGACACCCAAAAGGACGACGAATGCCTCTGGGATGAGCCAAGATGGAAGAGCGAGGGGGATCCAAGGCTGAAGAAGGGTTTTCGGAATGCACGCGACCCGAGATACATTCTCCGTCCCGAAGCTATCGAGAGCATATTTCTGTTATACAGGATGACGGGCCGACAAGATCTCCAAGATATTGCCTGGCGGATGTTTGAGTCGATTCTGAAAGCAACAGAAACAGAGCACGCTCACTCAGCTATAGCTGATGTTACCGTTCCGCCAGATCAGACGAGAAAATTAGACGAGATGGAGGTAAGCATTGGAAAACGTCCCACAACAGATCTCTGCTTTGCTTGTTCTTCATGTTTGGGTGACACGAATTGCTAACCCCTTTCCTCCACAGAGCTTCTGGCTTGCTGAGACCCTCAAGTACTTCTATCTCATTTTCTCACCACCGGATCTCATTAGCCTGGACGATTACGTTCTCAACACAGAGGCACATCCGTTCAAGATCCCCAAATAAGCAAAGATCGCAGAGATAAAAAAGGACTTTGGCGATTTAGATTCCGCACATACACATATTGGTTCGGATGATGATGCATGTCATGATAATATTTAGAGGACCCTGTGTGCGACGGGATGGTTGTGAAATAGCTATAAGACTGAAAGATACAAGAGGTAACATATAAACACATAATTCAGGCGACTCTTCCTAAGACAGTTGATGCAACATGCTCGCAGCTTGATGGTGGCTCCGCTTAGACACGTGTCTAGATACCCTAGTAGGTAACCAAGGTATCGAACCATTGAGCAAATAACTCAATCTGGCCGTCCTTGGCGATAGGGAGGGCTTGGAAACCATCACCAAGCTCCATTACTGTCGCACTGGCATTGCTCGCAGGCGTCCACTGGTTCAAGCCATCTCCATTCGGATCGCCAGTCTTGATGAAATTGACCCAGTAACTGTTCATGATCTTGGCAATCTCGTAGTCCTCGCTAGTCCATGGTGAGTCGGTTCCGTAAAGATTGTTGTGAACGTAATTGATCTCGCTCATGTGGAACGCGCCCTGAGTCTGCCCAGGTGGGGCGTGATCCCAGATGTAGTTGTAGACCGACGACGTAGCATTGGCTTGCCACAACTGCGACCAGAAGAATGTTCCTACTTTTGAGCGGTCAGTCCATTGGGCGTTCTCAGCTGCCGAAGCGGTGGCCGAGTCGTTGGCAGGGTATGCGGCGAGGAACTTGTCCTGCCAAGTGCTGAATGTCTCGTTCAAGTCAGAGATGTACGTCGCCAGAGTGATGTTGAGGCCGTATTCCGCCCCGCTCTCGTCTTTCGTGTTGCCCGTCATGACAGGGACATCCTGGGCAATTCCCTTGTCCAGAGTATTGATGTAAGTGTCTGGCATGGCGTAGTAGTCGAGTGTGGCCGTGAAGTCGAATTCGGAGTTGAGGAATTCGGTGACAAGATCTTCCATCGGAAGAGCGCGCATGCATGCGATATCAGAGCAGTTCATCGAGGCCATGTATCTGCTCGCCGTCTCCATGTTCACGTCCAGACTCCGGTAGTTTTCTGCCAAGCTAGTGCACAGGGGGTCGTGGGGGTCGCGGACACCAGACTGGATGATGGCACCATGGAGAGGAACGCCGTGTAGAGGGCCGTTAAGCATATGGTAAGTAGCCGCCGAGCCGGCGGACTGACCCATGACTGTGATGTGGTCCGGATCACCACCGAAGCTGGCAATGTTCTCATGAATCCATTTCAAAGCGGCGAACTGGTCCAGCATGCCGTAGTTGCCCGAGCTATTCGACCCAGCGGTGCTAAGTCTTTCCTGGTTGAGCTCAGGCGTTGCAAGCCATCCGAAAGACCCGGTGCGGTAGTTGTAGTTGACGTATACAACGCCCTTGTCGGCGATGCCTGCTCCGTCGAAAAGCGGCATCGCTGCAGTCGAACCAGCCGGATAGCTCCACATGACAACAGGCAACTTGGCATCAGTCGAGTTTGCTGCGCTCCATACGTTGAGGTTCAAGCAGTCTTCGCCAACGGTGTAGGCATCTGTTCCACTGCCCACGGCAGAAGGGCAGATACTGCCGAATGACTTGGCGTCGAGAGTTGAGTTCCATGCGACGATGGGTTGAGGAGCCTTGAAGCGATTGCCGCCTGCGGTAGAGGCAGCAAAGGGGATGCCCTTCCAGACGGTGATATCTGCCCAATTATCAAGAGACATATTCGCCGGAGAGCTATTGAAGGCCGGGTAGCCCTGAATCAGTCCATATTTTGTCTGAATTGTAGTATCGTAAAGAGCTGCGCTTGCGGCCTGAGCCAGTGCAGCGCCGATGACGGCTTTTTGCACCATTGTTGGTAAGTGGACGAAACAGTCCGGCAAGTCAGAAAGAGTGTAAGAGTTGAGAGTAAGAATGGAATGGGTATTGGTGAATCGGGAACCGTGATCCAATATATGTTTCACAGCAGATAGTGCGGTTATACATATTTCATTCCAAAGCTTCTACAGCATTTGCGTACATGTATAATTATGGCCGCAAGACATGGCTTTTCGCTACGCTTGTAGCCAGGATCGGTGTAGCCGTCTAGGTTCAAAGCTCAGAACATGGCCTATGGGATGATGGTCCCCAACGGATATAGCGGCTTTACTAGCATTCCGTTGACTAGAATTATGGCTGAGTCTTGAACGCCTGGGGTTGCATTACGCGGCGACAGTGCTGGCGATCGTCGCCTCCCCAGCTTTCGTAATCCTCGTCTAAGTCGTCGTGGGGCTGTTCCGAGAAA